AAAGTGATGTTACTTCATAATTTAACAAAACTCCATTTTTAAAGTATAAGCATAACTTAGTAGATAAATGAGTCTTTTCAATAATAGTTCATGTAAAACATTAGTAAATTATAATGGGTATAGTTTAGAGATTCAGTTCATACTAGATACAATACATGATAATAGAACGAACATACTATATGAGAAACAGAACAAACATATTAAGTTGCTATAGGATGGAACTACTATAGGATCTAATTATACCAATGAATCACTAACTCATTCTTCTAAACAAAAGGTGATAGCTAAATTGGGTATACATGATCATATAACTTTAATGTGGATGTACACGATGCAACCACCGGTTTGCCGAGTCGCGTTTGGTTCCCAGAATATTTTGGCAGGGAGAGCGTTTAGTATGGGATCTAGCCATCACATTATACCTTAATAATCAATTTGAGGTAATTAGTACAACAGTAGTTACTATATACAATACTACAATATTTACATTTTCTCATTACTTTCATAAAGTAATTGTACCACTTGAAAGTCAAATGCAACCTATTTTCGAGCTAAGATAGTTATAAACTAGGGAAAACTTACATTTTACAAACGACAAACAGAACAGTCGGGTCTGGTACATTCTGTAGAAAGGGACCATATTGCTAACCTTATGATTCTTTAATGTATACATCAAGGGATATGTGTATATATATATATATATATATATATATATATATATATATATATATATATATATATATATATTAATAGGATCCGACAGGTAATAAGATGTGTGCTTTCCGCTTCATTCCCTGTTCCTTGTTTGGTTGTGGGCTTAGAGCAGGTTCACCCACCCTATTATCTATTCTATCTTAGTTATATATTTGTTTCGTATACATTATGTCATCATAAGGGGTACCAAGTATGGGTCAAGTCATAGGACACTAATTCAATGCATAGTTTTCTAGTACAAAGCATACTTTTCAAATTAGAACTTTTGGTATACTAAACTAGAAACTTACCAGTAAAGGGTTTAATCCATTTTATTAAACCAGTATAAACTTAAAGGATTTTAGGTGATTGACTCTATAATGCCTTAGTTTATCCATCATGGTTATATATCATTAATACCCAGCAGGTAGTCGGATGCTTGCTTTCCGCCTTAGTTCCTGTTCCTTTTTTGGTTTTGGGCTTAGGGTAGATTCACCCAATTAACTATATATTCAATATTAGATCATATATAGCTAGTAAAAACTAAGTGATTATAGAAGTAATCATTGTGGTCACCATTTTAGAATAAAAAATAATGGTTTTCTTAAAAGAATCATTTCATTAAATATAAAGGAACTATCACAATTAACTCGATGAGTAACAAGTGAATACATAAAGGTTACATACAACAAGGACCTAACAAATAATGCGATGTGTGATATCTGCCTTATTTCCTGTTCCTTGTTTGGTTATGGGCTTAGGCAGATGCGCACAGTAGATTGTTTATTTACTCTGAGTTTTATATAACTTGTATCCATTTATTACTCATAGAAAGGATTATAGAATCATTTTTACATATCTTTAATCAAAGTAGGAAATATAGGATTTTCAAGAGGAATAAGCAAACTTTTCTAAAACAGAACTTATAACTTACTACATTTCAACTACATTTTTCAACAACTTTCTATAACTTACTTACATCACTAAAATCTTATCAACTCACCAACTTAATTGCTGATAAACTCTTTCAAATAACTTGTATTCTCAAGAAACTAGTAGACAGGTACTCGCTCTGGGAAATCAGACAATGGAGCAGTATAGCTTCAAGTATTGTTTTGTTATTTGCATATGTATTCTATGTTTTGTGAACACACACATTGTAAACACTTTCTTTCTAATGAAATGGTTGCTCATTACTTGCTTACTATGATACATGTCTTGTGATACTAAACATGACGTCCTCCACCCCGAACATTTCCGCCGTTACGGTTTCGATTGTGGCACATTGATGTGTCGCTTAACCACAAACATTGCATCAACAATTATAAACACGATTTGTTTCATCATTTCCTCTTTATAGTTCAACATTAATGTGAAAACAACTATTGAATATTAAGAACCCAAGAAGTTCATTGCTATTTTTGAAAATAGTAAAGGGTTATTAGAAAATTTATACGTTAGTTTATTATTCCAAATATACTAGTAATCCTTCCTTGTTGGTCTTTAGAAAGCCAGCACTAGAAGTCTCGTGCCTCTAATGGCTCACACCCAAACCCTAGCAAATTGGAGATTAAAGAGGAGAGAGGAGGAGAAGGATAATTTTTGGTTTTTCTCTCTTAGAAAAGGGATGGCTGAAAATCATAACCCTTATAGGGTTTACATAGGTGACTAAAGGATGCTAGGATAAGGGGGTTTCCTTAGATAAACTCTTATCCCTTTACTTCCTCCCCAAGGCATCCACGACTCTGTATTGCCTAAGGAAAACCATAGAATCCCTTCTAAAATTCATCGACCCTCATTTAGGTTTTTCAATTGATTAATTCTCAACTTTTGAACATTGTGACCTTTAGTCCTTCAACTTTTAATCAATCTAATTAATCCCATAATTAATTCAATTTAATTGCTGATTAATTATTAATTAAATAATACTATTTCTAATTAATATATTATTCTCATAATATATTAATAAATTATTTATTTTTATTTCTAAAAAAATTATTAATCATATAATAAGTTAATAAAATAGTCTCCTTTTTGTAAATATCATTCTAGTCCATTATTAGGTTTAATGGCAACCCAAAATAACTTTGCTAATAATTCAAGATTATAATAGTTTAGTTATTGGCTTAGAAATCTAATCTAATAGTCTCACACTTGGATATGTCTAAAACTAAATTACTGGTATAACTTCTAAATTAAATAACAAAGTGTGCTTTCCAAAGTAGCTGCTGAACTTTGATCCGATTAGATATTTTTCCTTTAGATAAGAGATCATATATTCATCTGTTCTTCTAGATATCGTATGGACATGAGACATAGACTATAATCAATCTCTTTGTTCAAAATAATAAGAAAAATATTGTATATTGTGTCCTAATAACCACTCCCCTCCTCCCCGAAAAAAGATATTAACCATTCGGAAACTATTTGTTGTTGTTGCATCGTGTTGGTATCCCATTATATATATATATATATATATATATATATATAATAATAATAATAATAATAATAATAATAATAATAATAATAATAATAATAATAATAATAATAATAATAATAATAATAATAATGGTATATTCTATAGATATGTCTTGAATTTCCATGATCTCTAGGTTCCTTAGTCAAACCACTTATCCAGTATCACAGAAAAGTGTTATTTTCTCCTCAATGGTCGAAACTACTCTAAGATCGCCGTTAAAGTTCTTCAGCTAAGCTGCTTCCTTTGATGCTTCACTCACTGCTATGTACGCTGATTCACAAGTAGAATCGACTACCATGTTTGGCTTGGAACTTTTCCAAGTAATTGCTATCCATTTAATAGAAAAAACCAGGCAGATTGAGAACGATGATTGTCTCTATATGTTTGAAAGATGACATCACTCTACCCAGTCACACTTAATGTATCACTGCCACCGAGGACTAGAATCAAATCCTTTGTCTTCGTAGATACTTGAGAATGTTCTTTACCATTGTCTAATGAGCTCTGCCAGGATTTTGCTGAAAGAGACTAACCATGCTCAAAGCAAAAGACTCATTCAGGCGAGTACATGTCATGGCGTACATGATCGATCCTACAGGGGTAGCATATGGTACTCAACTCATTTCTACTATTTCTTCATCTGTACTAGGACTTTGAGTCTTACTAAGTTTGGCATTAATCTAAATAGATAGCTCTTATTTCTTTAAATTCTCTAGACTAAACCATTTTGGTAACTTATCCAAGTATGTACTTTGACTAAGTCCAATTCGTCTTTTCTTTCTAACCCGTAAGATTCTTATCCGAAGAACATAAGTTGCCTCTCCTAGATACTTCATAGCAAAACACTTTCCAAGCTAAGACTTAACTTCTTTCAAGTTTGGGATTTCATTTACCATAAGAAGTATGTCATCAACATACAACACTAGCAACTTCACTTTACTCCCCCTAACCTTGACATACACACATGACTCATCTTCACTCTGAAACAAACCAAATTCTTTGAATTTCTCATTGAAGCAAAAATTCCAGCTACTAGATGCTTGTTTCAATCCATAAATGGATTTCTCAAGCATACTGTAGTGATCCTAATCTATGATGACGAATACGGAATATGAAATGATTTTGTGAATCATGTAAGAATTATGAACAATAAGAACACAAGAGTCAATAAATCTGGGTTTAGCTCTCATTAGTCTAGAAAGAGTACACTCGGGTACATAATATTTCTCTCTCTAAACTAACTCTCACAAGTTCTTACATAAAATGAGTGTAACTCACTTCCTTATAAAAGAAATACATGACATCTAAGAATGACTTTGTACCCTAACAATACAAAGTCAGATTTGGACGTTCTCTATATGTAAGCTCTCGCTTGAACGACTACTATGACCGTGGGTTAGATTACCTACTCTAATAAGCAATCTCTCTCTGATTCGTATTTTATGACACGCTTTGTCGTATAGGGTTGAACACAACTTTGAAGAATCATAACTTCTTCATATAAAGTTAGAATCAAGTGTTCTGTATATATACGAAAATTGTATTGACATTTTCAATGCTTTTTCAATGATTACTTTTGCTAAAAAGTAATATATTTCAATTTATAATTTTATAAACAACGGATAAAATCAAATTCTATTGGAATGTTAAAATAGGAAGTTATATGTTGCATATATACAGATCTTGAAGAATGAATTTGAAAACTCTATTGGAATGTTAAAATAGGAAGTTATATGTTGCATATATACAGATCTTGAAGAATGAATTTGAAAACAAACTAACAATATAAGTACGTTTGTGAATTTCAAGTAAGAGATAGAGGAAATATGATCAACATATTCGAATTCGAAGTTTATTAAAAAATAAGCTACTAAATATAACACTTTATTATTTGCATAAGAAATACAAACATTATTAATCCTCTCCCACTTATATAGAGCTTTATGGTTTGAAACATGTACCCATACATGCAGAAATAAAATCACACAAGATATTATAAGTTATTTTTCATATAAGCTTCTTGTTGTAATAGTTATTTGATGATATTATACTAAAAAACAAACACATTAGCATGTAAAAGCAATCCGATCTGATCATTATTGTTGACATATTTATCGGTCGATCACTTGAACTTGTTATGAGAAGTGAATGATTTTTTTAGTTTATGAGCTTCAGTTGGCAACTTCACATTGGTAGCTAATCCGAGTGCTTCAAGAAACCTTATTATATACCAACTGAGGTCAAATTGCCAAAATTCTAACCCATGTCGAGCTGAATATTCAAATGCATGATGATTGTTATGCCATCCTTCTCCAAAAGTAAGTAATGCCACCCACCTGGAGAGATGCATACCAACTGTTAAGTATTTCTAAATGAATTTATCTACTTTTGAACCTATAGTTTTAACTTCAAATGTGTACCAATTATTCTTGGAAAGATCACCGGTGTCCCATTTTTGAGTACCCCATACATGACAAGCCGAGTTCACTAGAAATGTTACATGGTAAGACCATGTCGTCATCACACCCTACATATATATGCTCATTATCCAATAAATTCATCATGAGATGTGGTAATTGATAAAAAGGGCCAATTGAAAATGTCACATGGTAGGGCATTGTCTTATTATCGATCATTTATAAAAAGGTCCAACTGAAAACATGAAAACAGTGTATGACAATGAAACTAAATACGTTTACTTATTATAGATCATGAAAAGTCTTACCACAACCCAAACAATATAGGAAAATCCACCATAAGCGTATATGAGGCACACATGTGCGAATAGATGCAATATGTAGGTTCTTTGAATAAACCTATAAAATACTTGATTCTTTAAATCATCTACGTTATTAGTTTCTTGAAACTGCAAAACATATAATCAACTTAATGATATAATTTACAAAATGTGACTTGCTTTTTTATAATATAGACATACAAAGTACCTTTTCAATTATGTAGGCACTATCAAAAAGCCAACCAGCATGACTATACCAAAAACCGAAAGTGGGGGAGTGTGTATCTTTCTCAGAATCTACATACTTATGGTGCAATCTATGAACGCTCACCCAAGATATTGGATCCCACTATATATATTTAACATTCATATTAAATTGATTGTTTAAATAATTAATATATATATATATATATATATATATATATATATATATATATATATATTATATATATATATATATATATATATATATATATATATATATATATATATATATATATATATATATATATATATATATATATATAAAAGAAAATGAAACGAACCTGGAATGCAAGCACCCCAAAATAAGCAAACAAGTACTCAAGCCACTTTGGTAGCTTTAGACTGTGGTGTGCTAGATTACGATGATAAGAGAGAGTTAAACCAATCCCATTCATCGCCCATTTAAAAAATACAAATACCAAAACATTCCAATCGAATGTAAATGGTGCAAAAAGTGCTAGTAAATGAACTAAAACAAACGTAACAAAAAACTGAAAGTCAATAGTCCTCCAATTTCGTCCCCATACGATGTTTCTCTTTCTTGTGACCAACACATTAGAAAACATTATTTTTTCATATTCCGACTCTGTCACCGTAGTGCAAACCGTGACCGGATTTCTCATTTTTGAATGGGTAAGAAAATAAACGTTGGATTTGTATATTGATGTATGTATGAAATACTCAACTGCAAGTATTTATAAGGAACCATCATGTAATCATGTTCCATGTTTATTTGTTGGTATTTAGTATTTACTCTTAATTTTGCATTTATTTATTGTGTGAAAATATTTATAGAAAATAAACAATACACGTTCTTGATGATGTAGAAATACTTACACTCTCTTTTGACGTTTTGGAACTACATGCATTTTTATGTACCCTTTAAATAACATGGAATTGTGAATGCAAAAGTCAATATGATTTAGTTGATTAAGATTCGGTAATAATTAAACTTGGGCCTTTTATATATAATAGAATATTAAATATATAGCATTTCAACGTTCCTCCGTTAACATAGTAAATACTTTTGCAGAGAAAAAATTAGACGATTTCGTGGGAGACAATATAGAAGAAAAGACATTGAAATAAATATAATGACTAAAAATTCCCCCTAATAGGACAGATGACATAGCTTCAACTATTGTCATCCAGAACATGATTAATTGCAAAAACCTTTAAACGCACATTATAACACTGAAACCAAGATTCTAATTCATGAAGGTTAAGCATTTTCCATCAGAGAAATATTTTTATTGTAAGTTATAAGTTTTTTCTCGTCAAGGTTAACGGAAAACAAAACAAATTTAAATATAAAAACTGAATAAACAAGGATTGATATTATAAAACAAACAACTAAACCCTAGGAAAACTCCCGAAAGGAATTTATTTATTATATAAGAAAACAATAGTTAATAAGAAAAAATAGTGTATATTGTATCGTAATAACCACCCCCTACTCCCCGTAAAATGAAAATCAGCCACCTTGGAAACTATTTGTTGTCGTTGTATCGCATTGATATATATATATATATATATATATATATATATAATATATATATATATATATATATATATATATATATATATATATATATATATATATATATATATATATATACACACACACACACACGTCGTTTTGTTTGATATATTCATTATAATGTTCTTAAACACCAACCCTTAACTTGATTTATTTTTAACATTTTTGAAATTTTACTATTGTCTTTCTCTTATATCACATCTTTTTGCCAAACACTTATTGGACTATATATATTGTAGTTGAAAGTGAAAATTATATAACAAGAAAATAAAAAGGTAATTTATAACAATATTGGAAGTAAATCAATTTAAAAATTAAATTATAAGAATACCGAACAATTATAATGTATTATATAATATAAAACGACGTAGTATAGTGAGTTTGGATACCTAAGCTTATATACCCTTAAGGGTATATTCACTTTTCCCATATATAAAATAATAATAATAATAATAATAATAATAATAATAATAATAATAAATAGATGTACGTTATTATGAAAATCCAATAAACTTTATAACCGACACTCTTGGTTATGTAACTATTTATGATTGACTATGTGTACGTCAAAATACCCAATCTAGCGTACCAGTTCCTAAAATGTCACACCTTACATGATTGGGAAGATGTTGAGTTTTGATTTTTCTTGCTAAAACCATTAGGATTATTTTTGAGATTTTGCTAGATCTAGTATGATATTGTAGAATGATTGGATGATATTACACTTTTTACTAGATCTATAGCAATGATTGGATGATTGGATGATGCATAGGAATTATATTGGAGATTTTATAGATTTTGCTAGATCTATAAGAATGATTGGATGATATTACATTTTTTTTTTTACTTTTTATGACTTAGTTACAAATGCAAGGATTTTAAAATTAATTTAGTTGCTCTGCTTAATTCGTCTCTCTTATATGGTTTATTTTTTTTTCTTGTACCTTCAGATTTTGCTAAATCTATTATGCTACTTACTTTTTTTTACTTGATGTTATATGAGGTATAATAATGTTTGATTGCGCATATACATCATCGGAAATGAGTCTGAAGACAAACTATCAATATAAGTAAGTTTGTGGATATCAACTAATAGATAGAGGATATTTGATCTACATATTAGAATTCGAAATTTATTAAAATAGAAGGTACTCAATATAGCACCACATTAATTGCATAAGAAATACAAACATTATTTTATTAAATGTCTCCTAATTATATAGAGATTTGAAAGATTTATGTAACATCCCAAATCCCAAATCATATTTTTTTTATTTTTAGAGTAAATTAAACTTCTATTTATATCCTTTGCATTTGATACTTCCGGTTTCCTTGTGCCAGAAGCTGTGAAGCTACTTAATATAGTCCAATTGGTCATGCATAGTAATGTTATGACTCCAAGATCTATAGATGTTGTTTTTAAAACAATTAGTTTTGCTATCCAAAAAGAGGTTACGACAGAACTTGTTGTTCGTTTACCCGCTGTGTCTATGTAAATCTTTCTTATGAATTGGAATTCCGTTTATAAGAGTTTCATAAAATAAAGTTGATCGCATTGTATTTTAGTAAAATGACATTCGAGTCAAACCATTTGATCAAAAACCTTTATTTAGGAATTAGAGCTAAAGAAGTCAATGTGGAAACTTAAATTGTAAATCTGTTAATGTGTATGTATAGTCTAGCCTTCACAATCGGATAAGTACCTGTAAAATATTTAATCCACATTTATAAGCACAAAGATTAACGAATCTCCCAAAATATCCCAAACATCATGTCACACCCCGCTAAAGTGGAAACATGAGGTGCAACAGTACAAATGGTCTCAAAACAAAAGTTAAAAGACATCACTAACTGTAGTATTAAAAAACATTACAATTTACAATGAGTTTGAACAACTTTTAAAATAGATTATACTGTATTTAAAATAAAAAACAACATATGCGAATGCGCCTACAAGTGTTGTGTCTCTAGGCGTCACTTGTTAAATGATCCCTGAAAAAGCATTTAAAATGAGCGGTCAACTAACAAAATAGTTGGTGAGTTCACATGTTTATAGCATAACATAGTTTCATATTATGAAAATCAAAATATTGATAAAAGTTTCCATAAAAGAATGTTTATTGCTAAAATGAGCATACAAGTTTGCATAATCATAAATTCGTTGCTAAAATGAGTAAACAAGTGTATAAACTGTAGTTCATTGCTAAAATGAGTAAACAAGTATGCATAACCAGTAGCCCACTGCTAAATTGAGCAAACGAGTATGTATGTGTATAACAAATAAATAATTTGAGTCTTGAACCAAGACTATAATAGATGTCCTATCAAGATATATGCTTATCGTCCCATGGATGGACATGGTAAAACGCACTCCACAATCTCGTGAGTGAGGCGTTGCCTTGTTGCTAATAGCATTATCCATAATGAACATAGGTTCGAAGAGTTAATGGTTGAAGTAAAGTGTAAGGGACTTAGACAATAAGGCCTCATGTTTCACAAGCACATATACATACATGATGATTTAGCAACCAAATTGATACAAGTTAATTTTTTAGACTTTTCAAACCCATGTATGGTCTTAACCAACATGCATGTGATCTTCAAGCCTAGATGCTTGGTTACAATAGTATTTCGTTAAAAGCTTCAAAAGTTATGCATGAATGATTTTAATTTACCAAAGTATCAAAACCTCATTTTAGAAAATAATTCATTTTTTTCAAATTATTGTAATTTTTGGAAGAAAATAAGGCCATAAATCACATAAAATACTTCCCAAAGCCAATAACTTCTAAAAAAAACATGAGATGAACTAAACAATAAATAAACATGTTTTTTGGAGTTTAAGAAATTCATTCCACATTTTGATATTACTTTCAATTTTATCTTTGTTAAACTCAAATAAATGATACAACCATGTTCTGAGATATAAAAACTTCATTTCAGATTTTTCAAAGCCTCTTGACTCTACGTAAAACTTCGATAAAACTTTTGATATTTTTTCTTAATATATTTTTGTTTTTTCCATTACTTATGTGTAATTAATGGACTAAATAAAGGAAACATAGTTACACCTATCCAAAATTGATGAACAACTACAAGCACATCTTCAATTAAAGTAGGATGCCAATAAAAAGTTTAGTGATTTGTCTTTATTGTTTACCATTTTATTCTTTTTTTTTCTATAATTAAGAACCCATAAATCCAAAAATTGGACTCCATATTTGAAAGTCACTTTTGATATTTTTCCCATTGATTATGGATAATAAAACAGTTGTACAAAATTTTTGAGAATTATCTTAGCAACAACTATTTACTCTATTTTTCTTACATTAAATAGACTTAAATAATGAAAATCAAACTCCACTATATGAAAACCACTTTTGACATTTTTTTTCCGTCTTATATATATATATATATATATATATATATATATATATATATATATATATATATATATATTTATCAGTTGTACACAGATATTGGCAATTTTCCCTAATATATTGTAAAGGTTTCTAAATTATGCTTGATTAAGTAGACATATCAATATCTACTATAATTATCAGTAAAAGTCACATAGAAGTGGTTAGCATCCCTTGTGGCAGTTCTGAAGGGTCCACACACATCAATATGTATGAGGTCCAACAAACCCTCACCCCTAGCACAAGTACCAGTGAAGGATGATTTTGTCATTTTCCCAAACAAATAAGATTCACAATTATCATCTAACTTTAGGTCAAATGAGTCAAAGACTCCATCCTTTTGGAGTTGGCCTATGTATTTCTTGCTCACATGTCCAAGACAATAATGCCATAATGATGCTTTATCCAAGCTATTGGAAGAATCAATACACAACACATTATTTACTTGGTTATCAACAACCAACACAATTTCATATACACCATCACAAGGTAATGTTTTAAAAATAAAGAACATTATTAAAGAAAACATTAATACCACCACATTCATTATCAAAAGAATAGGTAAACACTTGTTTGTACAAACCATGAAAGGAAATAATATTTAACATCTTGCAGGTACTTTGGGCAGTTTTGCTTCCAGTGCGACTTTTCATGGAAACAGAAGCATTCAGCCTCTTTAGGGTTGGCAGAAGGAGTGACA